ATGTGGTATAAAACTGTTATTACATGGGGTCAGGCTATTTTACCTTTGATCACAGAAGTAAACGTGTGTGGCCTTTGGTTCTTTTAGAATTGTGGTCATAACAAAGTCTTTGGGATACAGCTTTGGGTTTATCCATCAGTCAGCGCCTCAAGTTGGACCAGTGCTGTATATGAAATAACTAATTTTGGATGAAAACAGCTGGTCCTTCTAAATTTTCACTAGTCTTGGACTAACAAACAAGTGGCAATGTCTGTCCCTGAAGCATTTCATGGCATAGTATTGTAGTCACAACAGACTCTGCGTTAAACCCTCTTGCTTATTAACTTAAAAGCAGCATAAATCAAACGCTGGTTCATTTAGAATGATAAGAATTTTGATGAAAACACCTAGTACCTCTGAATTTTCCCTTGGATGAACAAACTAGTGGCCATGTCTATCCCAGTTGCTGTCGATTATGAAGTTTAGAACTGTTTGTATTGATAACTCTGTGGTACCTGGTCTTAGTGTTGATGTGAAATAATACTGTTATTGTATGCTGAAAAGACTGTTATAGCTCATATTCCATTAGAATACATGTGATGCTTTTCAGAATCTGTGATTGAACATGATAGTTAAGTGAATTCTTCCAGTGCATGATATTATAATTTTAATGTTTTGGGACGTTGTGGTATTATTAGCTGTATTAATGTGTGTTAATGTGATATAATACTGTTATTACATGGCTTTGTGTTGCAATACAGTATTGTGTGACACTTTTTCATGATAGAGTGTAGGACAATGAAATAACTGTTCATTTTCGCTTCGTCAGAAAGTCATAAACACTGTAGAAGCAGCTGATGTTTAGCCAGCTAATAAAACAAAATATTAATTAGTATTTATACAAGGCATAAATCTGGTATGTAGAATGTTATTCAAGCAAGATGACATTTCTATTCAGATGCTTCTCCAGTTGATCTTGAAAGGGGTCCTGGGTTGAAAAGGTCAATTGAGCTGGCAGTAGAAACTAACCTGTGGAAGAGACTTGAAAACAAACCTGAAAGCCTTAAATTGTATAGGTCCACAGGATATCCGAACATTAACCCTAACCTTAGCGTTAAGGCAATCCATGTGGTCTCTGCCTCTGTTGAGCTGACTTGGGTATGTTCAGATGGTCACATTGATTCTACATTGTGTACAACCTAGTGAAGAAGGATCTCTAAGCTTTGTATGCTCTCTCATGATCCCCTGCCCACATGTTAAATGGTTGCACTTGCTGTCAGATTTTAAATGGTTGCACTTTGCTGTCAGATGTTAAATGGTTGCACTTTGCTGTCAGATGTTAAATGGTTGCACTTGCTTTAAGATGTTAAATGGTTGCACTTGCTGTAAGATGTTAAATGGTTGCACTTATTTTTTGAAAGATGTTAAATGGTTGCACTTGTTCAAAGATGTTAAATGGTTGCACTTATTTTTGAAAGATGTTAAATGGTTGCACTTATTTTTGAAAGATGTTAAATGGTTGCACTTATTTTTGAAAGATGTTAAATGGTTGCACTTATTTTTGAAAGATGTTAAATGGTTGCACTTATTTTTGAAAGATGTTAAATGGTTGCAGTTGTTGAAACATGTTAAATGGTTGCACTTGCTGGTTCTCTACCTGGCACTCAGTTTTAAAGGTGGATTGGAATGAATAAACTGTGAGTTGGGTAGTGTGACTCCCATACGTAGAGAATAGATTGAATAGGAGTTTTACTCAAGTCTAGAATCATTTGCAAGTCTTGATTGCCTCAGCTTGAGGCAAGAAGTTAAGGATTGTTCCTGGCTCAATTGAGATTGTATTGCAGATAAACATATATCTTTTTGTAGTTTTGCATAAGATAACCTCTTTTCTGGAACAAAATGTCAGCTTGAGTGGTTTATCAGTGTTGAAGTGTGGCATGGTATCTCAGTGGGCTAGTATGATAATAAAACTAGCATTAGTGTGGACAAGTACTGTGAAGCAGGCACTCATGCAGGCCACTGTATGTAGGTATAGTAATCTTGAATGTGACGTAAATTCTGTTTCTCCTCTGGGCCGAAGTTTCCTTCCATCTTGGTGTGTTTCACCAGTAGTTTGTCTCTCAGTCCCTGAACCACATTATTTTCCCTACAGCCTAGCTCCCTGCAATGCTAAAGCTCTAAATGAAGCAAGTCTAGATTTCCTCAGGTTCTGAATCTCTGTTCTTTCTGGGTCTCCTTTTCAATATAAACACATGTCATCGTGTCCCAATTGTGTAGAGGGGCGTTGGGGTAGCCTAGTGGTTAAGCGTTCACTCATCACGCCGAAGATCCGGGTTCGATTCCCAACATGGGTACATTGTGTGAGGCCCATTTCTGGTGTCCCCCGCCGTAATATTGCTGGAATATTGCTAAAAGCGGCGTAAAACTCACTCACTCAATTGTGTAGATCGATGGTCATGCTGTTGATCACCGGATTGTCTGGTCCAGACTCGATTATTTACAGACCATTTCCATAAAGCTGCAATATTGCTGAGTGCTAAAACTAAACTCACTCACTCAAAGAACATAACTCTCAAATGTTAATCAAAACAATATCATTTAGTGCATTTTTGCAACTTTTCATTTTATACTACTCCAAAGAAGAAGGGTTCGATTCCCCACATGGGCACAATGTGTTAAGCCCATTTCTTGTGTCCCCCGCCGTGATATTGCTGGAATATTGCTAAAAGCGGCGTAAAACTAAACTCAGTCAGTCAGTCAGCCAAAGAAGAAGAAAACACCGCATTTCTCTTTATCAAACGGTAGTACCGTGGTTATTGTGTCATTGCTGTGGTTATCTTTAACTTCTTTGGAGTAGGATATAACATGAGAAACAGTGACATCACATGTAATAACTAAGATGATATGGTGAAGATGAGCAATACGACCCTGCTGCCACCGAACCTATATTAGTACCACAGTGGCATGCATCAAACAGTCAGGTAGTGTGTCTACACAAGATGGCCCCTCCCTCTTCCCCAGTGGCGCTGGAGGATCCGATGGCTAAATGTTTTGTTGTGGCCCGTGTGGAAGACGCTTGGCTTCCAAAGACAACAAGTTGATTATCAGCACATTGTTTTGGTGTGAGTCAGGAACGCCTGCAGATACTTGGTCCCCACCTGTCTCCCAGCACCGTAACCAGCCTCCCTGCATCCAGGAGACATTGTGGTGCACGCCCTCCCCGTTACTGATGAAATTCTGTGGGATGGGTGATGTGCATGGCTATTATATTTTGTGTTAATGTTAAAGTTTGTGTCACATCCAGGCCCCATGCTGTGTACAGCTGGTGAGTGGAGTGTAACTCAGTGCGGATGTGGTATTGTAGAATGATAGCATAGATGGTTGGAAAGGATTGGTCTACGTCAGTCTCTCAGCATGCTCAGCTCACAAGCATGTTAAGTGGATCATTCTGTGTGAATATGTTTAAAAACAATACAAACTTCATTCTATAAAAAGAATTCCTTTATTGTTTATTTCAGAATATGATCAACTAGACCTGCCAGTTATTATCAACTTGATTTACCAAATGAGTCATCTAGACTTGACGAATTGAGTCGTTCAAACTGACCTATTTTAATCATATAGAACTGGCCATTTCAATCCTCTAAAAATACCTGTGGTAGTTCCCTAGCCTTGCCTAGTGTAATCATGTTAACTTGTAGATATCCCTGCAGCAGAGCAGACTGTCATAGACTAATGCTTAGTATCTGAATATATATAATATTGGTTGTAACAAATAAACCCATTTATGTTGAAAAGAAGACCCAGGGAGACCAGAGATTCTAGACTTGCTTCATTTAGGGCTTTAGCATTGCAGGGAGGGCTAGGCTGTAGGGGGAAATAATATGGTTCAGGGACTGTGAGACAGACTACATTGTAGGGAGGGCTAGGTATTAGGGGAAATGGTGTGGTCCAGGGACTGTGAGACAGACTACGGACTGTCAGTGTGTCCATGTTTTAATATCTTGATGGGAATCTTTTAAGCTTTTTTTAAGCTCACATGTATAAACAGAATATGTTCCATCAGAATACTCTGTAGCCTCACAAATTACTAGATTGTTCTTCTAAAATCAGTTTTCTGTTCATCTCCTTTTGCATAAATTTCTCACATATACTCTTTGTAGAATCTTTGATCCAGCCCTATATTGGTCATTCCCCTAGAGTACTGCTTCAGGCATATCTATAAAAACAACTCTTGAGAATTGGCAATACATCAGCAGAATTCAGATGATCCCCATGTTTGAGAAGAGATTTGATCCAAGCACTTGTTAATGCAATGTAAATGGGTAATAGTGCCCATGGTAGAGATATCCACTGAAATGGAAAGGTGGTCTATTGACTTGATTGACCGTCTGCTTTCTCTAAGGGACTTGCATGACATGTTCAGCTTTACTGGTCACTGATCCTAACTGATTTGATTTTCATTGTGGTTGTTGCAGTTTTGTGTGTTTTGTGGTTGAATAACTGCAGTAGTTTTGAAGTTAAAGTAGATTAGAGTGTTTCAGCTTAATGGATTATGATTCAAGGCAGATTGGAACCTGTGGACTTGGGAGTTAAATATTGACACACTGTTTGTGTCAGTTTAGGTATTCCAACCAGTCAGGCAGTCGCTGTATTTTATTCACTGTCAAACTAATTTTGTTTGTGGCACTGTGGCATTCCAGAAGCAAGATCCAGAGGTGAGAGTGGTTATATACTGTAGCAGACGGGTCAAGTTTCAGTGAAGCTTCCACAAGGGGAGACCTACGCCCAGCTGAATAGCCTCAGTGGCCATTGGGATGGGAGAGAGAGAAGGGCATAGTGAGTGAAGGAAGTTATCTGTAAGTGTGGTGTGGCCTGCATCTTCATTAGTCACGTCTGCTACTTCTGTCAAGCCTTCCCAATCTGTGAAGAGGCCGGCCCCATGTTTCAGATTGACTGAGTTTACTTCTTATGTGAACCATCTGTAGTTAGGTCTTATATAATCAGGCATGACTAACTCATGGCGCAGGCAGAAGTAATAATATCCCACTTCTGACACCAAAAACTTGGACAAGGTAGTCGTCCATGCTGCCACCAGTTGTGTGAGGGAAGGAAGGTAGGCTGGGAGGACAGATACTATCTCAACTGTGGAGTGAGGATTTCCCTAACTAGCTCCAGCATACCATTGTACTTGGATAAGTTTCATGTCTGGATAACATCACAAGTGGTCTGCTGTAGTTTTATGCACAATTGCACGAGCAGGAAGGAAAAAACTATCAATCTACACACAGCCCTACACAGGATTGAGGAGTAATATTTACAGCTTGCAGCTTCTGTGTTTATATACTGTCTGGAAGAACCTGCTCATGATGTACTGTGTCAATTGAACATTTCTGGTTGGCGGAATTGTCCCCGGGGCACACTGACGTGCAGGAAGACAGAATCACACAAGTGGGATATGTCCTATCGTAAACTGGGTGAAACATAAGGATTGCATGTATTGTATGGAATATCCCAACTTCCTCCGGTAGAAGCCAAGTTGTTCACAGACAATATCTCCGGTCATGACCATTGCCGGTGTTACTCATCGCACTGTTCTGCCCCCGAGTCGTGTATCTACCATGCTGATGAGTAGTGCTTGATAACACGGTTCCTTCATCCTACACAGTACTACACCTACACCACAGCAATGGCTGCCTTCCCGCCGTCTGCTCATGCTCCTGGCATAAGACTTGTTTCGGATAACCCCTTTCTTTCGGGATTCACCCCAGAGAGGATGTACTGCAGTCCTGTCAACATGCCTGCTGACAAAAATTTGGGTTCCTGGCACAGGGTAATTGTCCACTCAGTTTTACATCTTGTCAATCTTTTGTGTTTTTTATGTCAAAAAGCGAGTTGTCTTCATTGTGCCAGCCATGTTAGACTAAGGTTTGTTTTGATTCTGTCCACTAGAATCGTAAGTGTTGACTAGGTTCATGATTTGTATCAGGGTCATGTGATGACATGGTGACTTGTTCTTTGATGGTGTCGTCTGTGATAATTGGTTAACACATCAGGTAAAGATGACTGGATGGAAATATGATTGCCCTTTTTATAAGGTATTATTACAAGACTTATGTTATTGTATATTGAGTGCATGAAAGGGTTGTGAATAATATCCCATGATGACTGATACCTTTAATGAATCTTACATTCAGGCCAGCTAATAAATATGGAGTACCCGCTTCTTTTGGATCAACATCTATTCCAAACTATTACCGAGTTTTAATGTCAAGAAACATTTCAACATATTCTTGTCACTCTCATTATGAAGGTCAATCCGTTTTACATATTCTGAAAACAACAACTAACTTTTTTACTTAGAATCAACATCAGTGAAAATTATCTCCAAGCCAGGATCAGGTAGATGTGTGCTATTTGAGTAATGCCAGGTATGACGGCCATTAAGAATGGTTTAGGAGCAAGTTATTTTTTCCTCCAAGTGACTACTGGGTTCCAGTTCCATATATCAAATAATGGCCGACATGGAGAGAGGGTAGGATCTGTGAGCATTAAGCTGTTTCGGAGATCGGCCAGCTTCTTCTCACGCAGCTTAGATTTCTTCTTCGCTGTTACGTGTAGTGGTAAATGCATGCATGCTGACAACTGCAAGGAATGCTGGGTGAAAAATATTTTCCGCCAAATTTTTATCGAAGTATGGATGTTGCATCACCACATGAGTCAACTGTTTTTGTGAAGAACTGTCTTGTGTTGAATATTTAATGGTTTTAATTTGTCATACTTTCAAGATGCCACTTAAGTCTCATACTTGTGGAAGAAACTTTTCACATACGTGAGACACGTGTGTTACATTAAATACAGTATTTAAAGATTCAGTAATGATGAAAGGTACATTTGGATGATTACTCAAGCTATCTGAGTTGATTAGGTCAAAACATCAGCAGAAGGAACATAAAAGTAAAGAAATGTAAGAAATAAATGTTTCCTCTTCAAAGGACTAATTATGATAATAAATATACACAAACTTTAAGATTAATTTTTAAACATTTTAAGAAGAAAGGCATAATCACAGCTTAATGGTATGAGGTATATACAGTTTTAACTCAGGGCTAATAAATATGGGCTGGGTGAATATTTTCCTCAATTATGTTCTTCAAGAGAGATGCTGTGTAGAAGCTCTTAATGACCCATTGCCCTTCCAGCTGACCACACAGACAAAGATAAGGCCACTTTCACTTGTATAATATTTCACACTAATGCATATGTGTGTGGTATGTTTATTAGTACCAGGCTATACAGTTGGTGTCACTTTCCCCTTGATGTGCCCCTATCTAGCCCCTGGCCATTAAGCCCTGTCTTAGCCCCTGAGAACAGTTCTGGACTTCTTGACTTCAACTTCCATCTCTGGAAATGTGGGCCAGGTTAGACCTTGGCAAGTCCAGAGAGAAATTATTGTGCTCCATGGAATTACAGGAATATGTAGTTAAACACAGAAAAAAATCTGCCTTCATGGTTCAAAGGTCGACTGGGTTAAAACTGTTAAATATTTTTTATTTTACAGCTTCAAATTCTTGTTTTGTTATTTTTGGTTTCTTTTTATATTTTCTGTTAATTAACGAGTTGACCCTAAATGTTTCAAACTAAGTGATAAGAATTTAATTGGCTTGAAAGATGGTTTTGAAGGGGTCATGGTATCATGGCATATGAATTTGTCACTAAAACAGCCACAGTATCAAACATGTCAAAGCAATTTAGTTGTGTCAGTGAGTTAGACTGCACAAGATCCAAACCTCAAAATGCATTGTGAAGTGTAAGGATAATTCACACCTGTCTCCTAACTCTAAGAATGAAAAATAAATGACTTGTTGAAACAAAGTCAGTCTATGTTGATATCGATAACATTGTTGACCTGAAAATTCAGATAAACAGCAGTATTTGTCTGGAGATTAACAACAGACGAACACATTCTGGAGATATAGTACTGTAGTTTTGTAAGTATACTATCTGAAACACAGATAAATAAGCAAGTCCAGGTATGAAATGTGTGAGATGTCCAGTTTTCCTTTTGTCTCAGTGTGATAGAAATTTGATAGCTTTTTTAAGATCTTGTATTTGTCATTTTATATTCATGATTTTGTATTAGTAATTGCAGACAGTGTACTAGGTATATATGATATATGTGGATTGCAAAATATCCTGGGTTCCTAAGGTTTAAGAATGACAAGTCTTTATGGATGATTCGTCCATAAATACTTGTCATTGCTATTGCTTACAGCTTCTAGAATGCCTCTCAAACAGTTCCTAGGGTTGCTAATGTAGTTTTGAATTTAAAAGACTTCCACTATCTTTAGAACGGTGGGATATTCTAGTGGTTAAAGCATTGGCTCATCACGCCGAAGACCCGGGTTCGAATCCCCACATGGGTACAATGAGTGAAGCCCATTTCTGGTGTCCCCCACCGTGATATTGCTGGAATATTGCTAAAAGCGGCGTAAAACCAAAACTCATTCAGTCAGTCAGTCCACTATCTTTAAGGGTGAACACTAGGGTTGTGACTTATATGGGATTTTTAAAATACTGGATTAACATTTATCATAAAGGTTCAACCTTTCGAGCATGTAAGCCACCTCCAGTGCTAGTGGGACGTTAGGAATGATACGAAGGTATGTCAACCATATGGAGATGCTTCATGTAGTGTTAATGATGGAAGGGTGCACTGTCTAGACAACATTACAGTACACCCACTGTGTTTCTCCATTACATACTTCTTGTCTCTTCAGGCTGACATACTGTGTTTGAACGGGAATACTGTTCAAACCGACATAAAACCCAATTCACTCACTCACTCAGTGTATGCAGATGCCTTGAACAGTTAGTTTGGACAAATGAAATGCTTGTCTTCAGTATTTCCAAACATTTCGATCAAAACAATAAATTTGAGTTATTGTAGCCTGGTCTTTCATTTCTTGTGACATTTGTAATTTCAGCAAATTATAATGGAATTTTGTGAAAATTAGCCTGAAAACGCACAAATTTTAACAAGAACTGAAAGATCACAAAATGATCACAATCGATTCCTTCCTGCCATTCCTTCCATGGCAAGACAGTATTACTGTATCTGAAGTGAAACTTGATGGTGGGTGATGTGCCCTCTGATTGCTACATAACATGTTGAACAGACGTGCTTGGTATTCTGCTGTTGTGGCTGACGGATGAAGTTCAGGATTTGATTACTTCAGATGTAAGGGGTATTGGAGTGGCTCAGTGGCTAGAACAGTCACTCTTTACGCTAAATACCCCAGTTTGAGTGCCCATGTGGGTATGTTGTGTGAACTTGTTCCCAAATATATCCCTTGTTGTGCACAGATGGTACTAACATGAACCAATCAACATTCAGGATGGAGTACATGAGGACAGTGGCTTTAGTCATGCTACTTTATCAAAGCTAGGGCAGCCTAAGCCAAGGCTTAAAACATTTGCTTGTCAATCCAAAGGTCTGGGTTTGATTCCCTCCAGACATGATGGTTGGGTGGTGACATGGGGCAATACATTTAGTCTTGCCACTTTATCAAGCTAGGGCAGGGTAGACAAATTGTTAAAGCATTTCTTTGTTAATCCAAAAGTCTGGGTTCGATTTCCCACAGATAGAGGGTTGGGAGTTTGCTTTAGTCTTGTATTTTGATCAAAGTACAGGCAGGGTAGGCAGAAGGTTAAAGCATTTGCTCATCAATCTAAAGGTCTGGGTTCAATTCCCCACTGATGTGATGGTTGGGTGGTGACAATGTGCAACCTGGTATACAGTCTCACGTGGGGATTGTTGTTCATTCTATCGACCACTGATTTTGTTTCGGAACACATTCACTCAACAAATCCCACCCAACATTTTCAACATCCAAAAGAATGTCTACACTACCACACAGACACATGAAAAGGACTCTATACAAAGTGTTCAGAGGCTGTAGGATAGCAGGAACATTCGTTACCAGATCAGCATTGCCAGTGACTAATGGGAATGTACCTGACCACCAAAGGCACCAAGCCCTAAGGGGAGGCAGCACAATGTTACCATAGCTTGGAATCTCTAGCAATTCGTCATGAATCGGTGTTTGATGCAGTGCCAGTGCTAGGATGTTCTGAGCTCCCTGTAGCATGTGCAGTGAATGGAATCACATTATGGTTGTGATCTGATGTTGATGATGTAGCTGAACTTTACGTGCTGAGGCAAGAATTTGATCAACGTAATCCTTGGAAGTGGCATGCTGCTTTGATAATGCCCCCTCTGTTGATGCATCATTAAGTGTGGTATCACTTTTGAATTGATGCTCTTCATTATCTTTAGCTCCGTAGTTGTCTTGATCTTCTGAAGTCTGTCATTCTGTGACTGATCACTGAATATTTTGTCCATTAAGGGTTAGGGTACTATATGGGTACCAATAATGGTTTTGATTGTGATACAAAGTTGTTATTAATAAGATCAAATAGAATATTTTAGGTTAGAACACTGTTTTTTGTTTGGTTGCCCTTTTTCATGTTTTTTTAATATTGATGATTAATATTCATTTCGGTCATGTCTGGCAAGTCTGTGAAGCCCATTTCTAGTGTCCCTTCTGTGATATAGCTGGAATATTGATAAAAGTGGTGTAAAATTAAACTCACTCACTCACTCACTCACGCTGGAAAGTCAGTGCATTCAGCAGCAGGGAATTTCATACCTCAGATAGTATGTAAAAACACACTCGTGGTCTTAATGATTTAAAAGAGGGTAAACACTTGCTCACACATTCACTCAAGGAACAACCTCTGCTCTCTCTTTTCCATTACTTCATCAGACCA